TTGTCAAGTTTGTCATCCTTCTCTCTTCATCTGTCATCACCCTTCCTTATGAAGGCAATGATATGGAAAGCTGGAGGAATCTTTTCTTCTCCCAGTAAGCCGTAAACAAAAAGTACTTCATTTATTATTCTCTTCAACACTGACATGTTTTATTGATTCAAATTGCAGTAGCTGTTACCAGTAGATGGACCTCTAACCAACTCCGACACAAAGACAAAGAATATTATTAAGATCATGTGCACAAAAGAGCTAACATAGCTGGCCAGGGACTACTGGCTTTAGAAAGGCCTGCTTGCAAGGCTATGTCCTTGGCAGACCTGTGAGAACTGGACTTCCCTCAAACCCTAACCTGTAAAAGCCATTCGCTGTGCAAACAATACTGTTTATGCAGAACATCTGCTTTCCTTCAGAGGATATGAGGTTCTGGTATGTGCTAAGCTACAGTACCTAAGCGACAGACTTCAATGAGACACTTGGTGCCGAGTATCAGATGGGCTTCTCCAGAAAGAAATATTGCACTCATGTTATTTTGATTTTTCGGACTGAATAAAATAGCACACAGAAATGTCCCCCTTCCTTCATAAAGAAGCCTGTGCATATGTTTGCCAGACTCTGTCTGAATCTTTTTCCCTACCTGATCCTGTCGTGTATCTTTTCCTCATAATAACCTTGGCCGTAAACACATATACATGCCAAGTCTTATGAATGCTCCTGGAAACCCACCAAAAGTGAACATGGTTTTAGGAACTTTAAAAAATAGATTATATATTCTAAAGTCAATAAGATAGCCTTCAAATTTTAAGTGGCTTATATTTAGTCACTTGTACGAAGTCAGTTTTATTCATTATCTTGAGGTATCTTTGGAAACCTTATTTTTATAGTATAGACAATAATATAGATCAAAAATTTCTTGGAGAACACCATTCTTAAAACGTCTTGCAGGTTTTTTTTTAGTGCTTACTGATGCACATGTTTTCATATAGTTATGTCTTTATATTTTGTATACTATACTTTTTGATTATAATTATGCCACAAACAGAAGCTATATTATAAACTTATGCTAAAGTTAAAACACGATGACTTATAAAAATAAAGATGGGGAACAAGGAATACCATGATTCTCAAATTACATCAATGCATGAAAATAGTTATATAGCAAATACTAAGTGAAATAGAGAAGATATGAACATTGAATACAGCTAAGAAAATTATACCATGTAGTCATAAAATAAATAATATGCTGTATGCAGATTATTTCCTGGATCCTCAAAATTAACTTATAAAGTTCAGTTGTTATTTTATAATCAAGGAAGTTTCAGAAAAAGAAATGACTTATTACAAATAAGTATGTTTCCAGGCAGAACTTGAACCCTGGTTTCCTCATTCCAAATTCAGTGCTCATTAGTCATCACAACTACCTATGAAGAGTCACAAAAACTAAAAATAGTTCTAGAGTATTAGTAAACAGTCCAGTATTCCCAGAATCTTTTATTCTCTTTTAAATTGCCTAGATTCACAACAATGATAATTTTTATAACCTGCATATGGTTCACCACCAAATGCTTTAGAAAATGCAGTCTTTCCTAGGAATACTGGGGTGATTGAGAATAAAGGGGTTTGTTAGTGAGAGCTGAATTATTAAATACTGGGGAAATGGCTGAAATGAATAGTGAAGGGTCTCACAAGCAGAAGGAGCATGTGCTCAGTGGTGGAGTTGCTCATGTGATGCTGAAGAGGATTTAGCCATTCTTGGAAGGGCAAGCAGCCAAACTCTCTCTGCAGGGACAAGTCTGCCAATTTCTGTACAAATAAATCTTCAAGTATGAATAATAATAAAAAACCTCTTGATGTTTATTGGAATGTTGTTTAGAAACAAATAAAATATTTAGCAATTAAACCAGAATAGCTTATCAGCAATGGCCTACAAGGTATCAGAATTAACATAAGTGAATGGAGACATGGGTTGAAAGGAAGTAAGAAGGTTGAGTACTCTGAATTGTGTTGCCTGCAATCTTGTAACTACCTGATAGTGACTTCCAGTAAGTACCCACCGGCATGTCACTGAAAAGCTAAACTGAAAAGAAGCAGAAATAAGTTGTCAGTATTTGGAGGCTCAAGAAAGAAATTCCCTGGGAATATCAACTGTTAGGGAACAGCCTCTGGAAACTGTATGCTGCATGGAACAGAAGCAGAGGAAGAGTAAGGCAGGTGCAGGTGCTCTCCTGTCTCTCTGTGGTTAAAGGATGAGCTTGAGCCCAATGGACCAGGAGCTATTTATTACTTGAATGACCTTAGGCAGGAAACTTTAACCTTCTGAGGATCTGTTTACTCATCTTCAAAACAGAACAATAACACCCACCTCACAGGTACTGCTAAATGAAGTGATGAGTATTATAATTTCTATAATGCCTGTGTAAAGTGTATGCCTACAGCAAAAAGAGCCCAATATCATGTTATTTTAGTATTAGGCTTCAAAGTAAGTTATACTTTATTAAAATTAAGATTAAACCTTAAAAACCATGTTTATGTAGCTTTTCCTTTATAAACTATACTTATTTGGCAAATGATATCCATCAAAATCTGAATAACATGTTTGTGACATTCCTAGGATGGTTATAAATTATCTTCTGGCTTTAGTTATATAAGAGTCTGGGTCTGGTATTTATCATACAAAGGTCAAAGGATATAGCCAAATTTAGCCAATCTGCCAGTATATCTTACCCCAGGTATTAAGAGTGTCAAAAGAAGCACTTTATTTTGCAATTGCTTTATTCTTATACATGAACTTATGCTGTATCCCACTGGTTTAATCACTTTGCATAGACCTTACTTGCTCAGTTAGACAAAGAATGCCATTAATTTTATACAGCAAGGACAGTTGAATGGGCAGGCAAACCCACATGCCTATTTGACACAGCCCCACATGTTATGTCACTAGTCCTGCATAAAGTGAATTTCATCCTGCACACAGAATAGAACTTGGCCAATAGAATTAGGCCAATTCAACTTTTTGTCTGGGCATTATTTATATCTATACTGAGATGGAATAAAGAAATTCTAATTAATTTTAATTTTGGTAGACAGGTCTATAAAAATTCTACTTACAGTGTATAATGGAACAGGAAGAAATTTTGTCAAGGCATCATTGAAAAAAGGAGAATCACAACTGAGTTATTTCCTATTAGCCCATTAAACTCAATATTGTGTCAATCACTATTTATCAAAATACAGTTTTTATGAGGTCCCAATATGCATTATTTATACTATTAAAGTTTATCATTTCTTATGTTCTATGAGTTTTCTTTACTTCAATTTATTTTGAGATACTTTAAATTTTATACTTACTATTTAGATACAGATAGTTTTGGGCTTAAGAGAAAAGAAATGGAGTAGCCTACATGAATGCACACACAGTGCAGAGAGAGGTTCACTGAAGCAAATGTTGCAGTGCCCATGCAAAGATCAAGGGTAGTATGCATGGCAGTATGGAAAACAAACATTATTCTTCCTAAAATTGTTACTATAAGAATATCTTGTACTAAGAGACTACCTTTCTCTGGCAAACACAGAAGTCTAAGTAGTTAAGTTTATGCTCCTATCAGAGCAAGATTAATCCTCCTAGGTTAGATTAATTTGTGAAAATCATACAAAAATATACTAATTTAAACAGTCAAGAGAATTCATCTCTATATTATTCTGTGATTTTTAACATTGTCAAAACATCAGAGATTAAATATGAAAGTCATTTTATGTTAGGATAATGAATATCTTTTTGTAATTAGAACACAATAACATAAAAATTCATCCAAATGGGCACAAAACTTAACAGCATACTTATTTGAGGAAAACACAGCCATTTCTTTTAGCAAGAATAAGTAGCTATTCTAATTGTCAAAATGTTATTTGGTATGACTTTTATGCCAACCGTGAAACACTTCTTTCACACAGAGAGACTATTATGCAGTTTATATGCACTAAACTGAATTCCTCCTTCCTCCAAAATTTGTGCTTCTCCCGGGGTGTTTACACCATATCACTATCCCCTCACTACCCAAATTCAAAACTGGTTTCTCTTCTTTCCAAGTGTCATTGTCATGTGTTCTGGCTTTAAACAGCTGGTGGTTTTTTGTTTTGTTTTATGACCTTAGCAAATAACCCATTGCAATCATGTCACTTCAAAGGAGTAAACTCAGACCCAGATAGGCAAACTTTTTACCTAAGGCTACTAACTAATAAAGAAACTTAACTAATACAACTTGACCAGAAATCAAGGTCCCACTCTTAGATCGTCACTCTTCCCATCATTCCTCTTTTTCTGTTGCTTATACCCTCACATTTCTTAAACTGTCTTTTTTCAACTACCTCTTCCTCAAATCTTATGTTTAGGCTTTTGTCAACACAAATTCAGTAATGTCCTAACTGGTAATCTAATGTCGTTCTCTGAAATCATGCTATGCCCTTTCTGCTGCTTCATACTTCTCAATCACAGTTCTTATAATACTCAACCCATGACTCCAAATTTTCATATATCCCCCTCATTACAAAATTGTATCCAAATGCCTTAGTTTGACAATCATGGCCTTCTGTGCTCTACTGAAATCTAACTGTCAAGCAGTGAGTGAACAGATATTTATTGAATTCTTATTATATATCCAATTTTGTGATCAGCCAAAATGAATTTATGGTCTTATTTATCAAGAAGTTCATTGTCTAACAGCTCTTTTTAATTATTCATGGAGAAATATGTTCTATAGAAGAAAATTTAATTATTTTATAGTGGTCTAATCAGAAAAAAGTTTGAAAAAACATGTATTTGTATTGACACCTAACATACAGAATCATATTCAAGTACTGTATCAGTGATCTTTGCACTACTTGACTGTATATCCAAGCTTAAGTAAGTATCTTTCATGCTTATAGCCTTGATAAACTGTATAGATCTACCAAATGCCATTTAAACAAATCTAGAGGTTAAAAGTTATTTTGTACTAATAGCTTACCAGGATAAATAAGGTTGTCCGTGTTTCTTTGAGTTCGGCCTATCAGGATTGTGGTAAGATTCACTGCTGGTTTAAGTGTAAGAGGTTTCTTCTGCATTTTTACTTGCTTCTGAGACTTGATATTTGCCAGACTATCAGACAACAATCGCTCTATATACCAAGTTAAATTAGATAGTGCAGCTTGAGTTTTTATTTCAATTACTGATTCCACAAGTTCTGTCAGACCTTTCTGAGGAAGGTCACCATCTGGCACGGAACCTTTTGGACACTTAGCAATGGTGACTTTCATTTCAGATGTACTGGTAGAAGCATTATGACATATTGTTAAAAGCTCATGAACAGTTTTATTAAGCAAAGAGAAACTAATTGAAAGATGGATGGATTTAGCTTCCAGTGCCTTAAATCTGGAATTTAGTACTTGCAGTTGAAGAGCTTGGTCTCTCTCATTTGTAGTCACACTGCCTCTTTTAAGTGAAATATAATAAGGTATGAGTGTCTGGGTCACTTTAGATTCAATGCCTTGCAATTGAGTTTGAAAATTTTTAGAAATATTCATGACTGAGAGTATATTTGCTTCCAAATGACTTATGTTTTGCTGATATTTTTTCACTTGAGAAGTGATTTCATTAAACATTTGATAAACCTTTTGAAAGCTGGACTGACCCAGTTTCTCACCCTTAGAAATATCTGCAAGGGCCTTTGCAACTTGCAAAACAAAATTGTATTTCTGATTGTCATTGACCAAAATCTGAATAGAATCATTCAAATGTTGGAATTGAGGAATAAAAGTTAAAATAGTTTCCATATTTTGGTCACATTTATTATGGATCTCAGAATTATATTTCATAGCACTTAAAGTCTCTTTTAGCACATAGTTATCTTGAACAAAATCAATGGCATTATTTATAATAGCCATTGTCTTGTTTAGGCCGTCCTCCATTTCCAAGGCATATTCATTGATGCGTCTTTCAAAGGCATCACCACGACTCTGTACATCATTTCTAAGTAAGTTGTGTCTTTTAGTAAGTTCTTTGATAAGAAAATTTAGACTGTTGACAGCACTAATGAGATTTTCCACCTTTTTCCTTGTAACCACTGCTTCCTTTGGTTGTTCATGTGTGATTGCCTGTTTAAGCGATGGTCCCTGCTCGAGCAAAGGTTGAAGGATCTCCATGTCATATGTCAAATCATTCAGTTGCTCACTCATTTTATCCATTTTGTTGTCCATTGGAAAGAGAACCTCGGCCAAGGTTTGGTTTAACACATGTAAATTCTCTTCTGTGTCCTTAAGCTGAAATTTGAAATCACTTCTGCACTTAGACAGCATTTCTTCACATTCACCCCTGACAGATTTTTTCTCCATCTCCAAACTGATGGTGAGATTGTTAATCTTGCTTTCTTGGATGTGCAAATCATCAAACATTTGCAGCATCATCAAACCTTGCTTCTTTATCTTCTCATGTAGAATAGACATGTCTTTAGTGACATTACTGCTAACTGATTCAGCAGTTGTGGCATTCTTCTGGTCTGATACTCGTTCAGTTGATAAAATCTGCTCATGTACTTCCTTCATTTTAGAAAGTGTCTTATTGAGAGCTTCATAATACAGAAAGCTCCTTGACTGTTCCTGTCTAAGAGTGCCTTCTAAATGAACCTGCTTTGCTTCTAGTTCTTTAATGGGCTTCTCACATGTAAAAGTCATCTCTTGCCTTACACTAATAATGCGATTCTTTAGATCTGCTATATCACTCAGTGTGGTTCTACTTTCTTGCTTTGAAACAGACTTTTGCTGGACTGTTATTGAAGCCACAGACTCATTGACTTGTCGAATTGCTTGCCTGGTGTTTTCAAGGTCCTCTGATAGACTGGATACAGTCTTGAAGAGTTGTGCAACAGTTTCTTGCATGTCATTTTGAAAGACTTTAAATTGTTCCTTTACTATGTCCTTTACCAGATCATTAATGTTTTTGGATTTTAGACCTAAAGAAAGAGATAATAAATTTACATGAGTTCAGTTTTGAAAAAACTTTGAATATCTCCAAAGAGATAAAAAGTTTGACGCTAAATACTAATAACATACTACTTACGACTTTGCAAAAAAAATTGCTATAATTCACACAAGGTGGTCACCTTCCAAACTTATAAATCTGAGAAGAGAAATCAATTACAGTACAGAAAATACTAGAACTATAAACCTAGAGTTCTATGAACAAAAGGCATACAGGAACTACTACTCATTTTCAGTAACAGACCTTTGTGTGCAATAATTCTAGATGTAGTATTAAATGAAAATAGGTTTCTTTGGGCATTTTGCCTTAATAAATAATAATGAGTTAAAGAAAAATATGAATATTCACAAGAGGACAATGTTTTATAATAACAACAAAATAATGAAATAAGAGGTTTGAGGATCCCAAAACAAGTCAATCACAAATCAAAAGAGGAAATCAAGATATGCTTGATTTTTATAAGATGACATTAATGTTTAACAGAAAGAGAAAACTTGCTACTGAGGAACTCATATTAGTGTCTCCAGTATGAGAAGGCACGACTGATCATAAGCCAAGATTGCAGTAAACTTGGAAAGTAGTATTAAAATAAAGAAAGAAAAAGAATAAAAAAGAAAAAGGGAAAGGGTACTGAACTATTCCAAATGACCTAAATAGGAAATACATTTGAAAGTATAAAAAAAAGTTTCTTATAGAATAAAAAAACTAAAATATATAATTGCATATCTAGCTACAAAATGTATATAAATGAAAGACATATCCATTTAAACTTAATAACCATAAAGTTAGACACCCACAGCATAATACAAAGGATTTTTAAAAGGAAGGTCTGTAAGATGGAATATTGCCACATGAGTTTATGGCTACTATGCAGCCTAATCCAGAATGATAGAATCAAAATGAATATAATCTTCACTGTATTTTGCAAACATATATTTAAAAATAATTAACATGCACATGGGACTTAAAATTATTGTAAAAGAGCATTTATAAAAAATAGAATGATGTGCTGCTTGAATGTCTTGATATTAATTAATCTGGTACAAGAAAAATTTGTAAATATGGATGGTTGTTTACATGTCCCCAGAAATCCTACACTCAAAAAAGGTCAATGTTACTTTAAGAATCTGATTTTGCAAAAGATATGTTTTATGCTAATATATGTGTCGGTACATTTGATTGTGTTTCATGTGACTTACATGCTTCTACCTTCTCAAAAAGGATAATATTGAACTTGATGACTTAGATGTATTTGGTCTCAGACAGAATTGCATTACCATAATTTGTGAATGTAGGTAGGCCCTTTTCATGAAATTGGGATGTGTTTCAGGGAGTGGACATATAGAAGTTTCAACTATGTCTGTGACTGGTGGCAGATTAAGCAGTGTTCTTCACCTTGGATGTGAAGTACACAGGAGAGGAAGCTGTGTTTTTTCCAGGCAAGTGCAGCAATTTGGGGTGGGTTTTTTTTTTTCCCCTGTAAGAATATTCATTACTGCAAGGCCTTTGGTTCTCATAACTAATGACTGTGCTAAGTACACAATTAATCCCTCCTACTGAGTAGGGACTTTTGATAGTGTTGCTGTTGCTGCAACTGTGTGTTTTTTCCCATGTCAGTGCTAGAATTTTTTAGTAGGTTACCAGTTCACATAAAGCAGTTTCCAGGCCTAATTTTCTCAGGTCATGATAACCAAAGTTTGCTGAACAAATTTCATTCAGTGGTTACAGTTGTTTCTATTTGACTTCTTATGTTATCACTTCAGGAGAAAAACATGTTCCTCTCTTATGATTGGCTTGGGTAATTTTGGTCATCCCAGATATGTAGGACAGGGTCTTTCTTCCTGTAGCTTAATCACACCAGTGATTTATGTGATTGGGAAAAATCATGGTTGCTATTGAGCTTCAAAAGTGCCTGTGCTGGTAAACAGTATGTCAAATTTCTACCTAATTTAACCTTTTAACACAATAGAGGAAAAATATCACTGTGAATGACAGAAATGGTATGAGAGCCATTTTTAATGAATAAAGTACAGGGATCAGGAGTCCTGAGACCTGAAAACACACAATGAACCCAGTGAACTGGGATACTGTTAGTTATCAACCCATCTGCCCTGAACACCCAAGCCCTTCCTGGAACCCCCGTGCCTCCTTAACTCCTGGTCTTTAATTAGTTGAAAGTGTTGCAAATGTCACAAGGCCCTTTTGTACCCTATGCATAACAAAATCAATACTGATTACTCACTAGATATAAATCTTGATGGTAGACAGAATAATGCATACCCCTTTCTCTGCAAGAGGTCCACATTTTAATTCTCAGTACTCATGATTATGTTACTCTGTATGGCAAAAGGGATTTTTCAGATGTGATTAAGTTGAAAAACCTTGAGATCAGGAGATTGTCCTGGGTCATCAGGTAGTTCTAATCTAAATCATATGAGGAGTGAGAGGAAGGCAGAAGAGTGGGTCAGAGAGTTGTAATGAGGATTACAATGAAAGAAAATAAGTTCAGCCAATAAGTCAAATTAGGAGAAAATGGATTATCCTATTGAGTCTCCTGAAAGAAACACAGCCTGCTTGTTGATTTAAGATCACAAAATTTAGGCAAATTGAGTCCAATTTATATAGAAATTATTATTTCTCTGAACTTTGATGTTTTAAGACATATTTTATTGATTGTATACCACAAACCAGATAATTTCTAGAATAATCACTTTAGCTTTATCATCAATACCTCCATCAATCATATTGAAACAAGCATGTTTAACTGACTTGATAAACATCTCTTCACCACTATCAGTATTCTTGAACTGGATATTGCAGGATTGATTTGTGGATTAATTTTAACCACAAATAAATACAAGGTAGACTATATCTAGGTATATCTATAATGCCAATCAACCAGATGCAATATTCAGTTAAAGATTTGAGTATATAATAAAAAAAATCAATACCATATTTCAAATTATTTTAGGAACTGAATGATTTTAACATATCTCATTCCAAAACAATGTCTTAGATTTCCATTGAACCAATCTAAAGCAAAGACCCCAAAGTGACATGTGAAAAGTTAAATGAATCATTTGCCTTTTGTCTTAACTGAAGGAATAATTTGTTTTGGTTTCTTTTTTACCTTTTAGGAAAGATTGGAATTCCCTGCTTTTGTCTTTACTGATTTTCCCCTCTAGGGAGGAGAATGTGCTCCTTATATGACCTACAGCCAAGGAGATATTGTCTACTTTCTTCTGTAGAAGACTGAGCTTCGTTGCCTGTTGGGTCATCTGGTCAGTCATTTTTTGCATTACAGCTGCATGGAGAAGGGAAGAAGATTGGAACCATTAAAAGTATATGTTAAGAACCACTCAAATTTTATGATAGGTTAAAGGAAATTCAAAATAACCATGTTTTCAGTAATATATTTGAAAATATAGACTGCATTCATTTATCAAATGGCAACCTAAATGTTAAGGGTATGTAAGGGTAGGTATTTGTAAAATGCGCTATAATATCTTAACTTTTCCCAGAATTTTCAGTCATTTTTTTTTTAATTCTCAGAGTTGTTATCACATCTGAATGGATGAAAATATCAAGGGTAGTAAAACCAAAATGACATGCTTGGGGTTACAGAGCTAATAACTTCTCTACTGCTTCTAAATCCAGTGACCCAGCATTAAGTCTGTGAAGCAGTGTGTGCTATGTAGCTGTACCCTGCATTCTGAGAATTATATTGTTTACCAACGTTCTTTAATGAGAGATAGTCTCAGAATTTAGATTGACTCATTTCATATAGCAATGGTACTCTCTATCTCCTTACATATGCACTTTAATAATTCAAGGATTTGATAATATCCAAATCTCTTAAATAAATTAGAGGACAATTTCTAAGGCACATTCACCTGCATTCCTAAGGCTGTCTCCTTAAATCACTTTTCTCAACTTAAGTGCCTTGTTTTTTTATGCCTAGATCTATGTCAACACAGTGAAGAGATGTTGTTAGCAGTAACATCTGTATACAGTATGTTTCTAAGGGCTAAAATTAAGTCTAAAAGAAATGGCAAAGCATTTATATTATGATAAATATATAGATGGGAAAACATGCACATGCCAACTTCTGATTGATTTTTGATCAAGGTTCTTGTTGGTCCTTAGTCATAATTGTTTTTCTCAGTCAGTAATCAACACACCCTAGTGATCTCATATCAATCAATAGAAGACAGCCTTCTTGACTTCCTTATCATGATCAAGTCATTCCTTCCATGTCAACATTCTTCCATGATTGCACTGTTTAGAAGACAAAAGTTTGGTTTTATTTTGAGAATCTGTCCTTTCCCTTACAACCTAGTACCACCACATTTTTATTCTCCTTTTGTGTTTCTGCACAGCACTTCAATAATTACAATTACACGTGGTCCTTTCACCCTGGGAACCTTCAACACATGCAGTCTCTCATGACGTCTAGCACCAATGAGAAGGATTGAGAGGTCTGTTAATATGCTACAATCACACATGTGACAGCCAGGAGATTGCTTGTTTAGAAGTCGAAATAAATAGTGTTGACGATAATTGGGTTAGAGATGATAGTAATTGCAATCTATGACCTGGGTCGCCACAGTCTTGCTGCTGCTGCTGCAGGTGCTCAGCTGTTCCTCTGTCAGTAGCTGAGTGACTTTCAGCCTGGTTGCTGTGCACCAATTGCTGTGACTCCTGGGCTAGAAGGAAGCAAAGAGAAGAGAGAGTGTTAAGCGTTGCAACTGCCTCATTTTTTCCAGTCCTGTGCAATAATGTGTGACATTCATTTTCCTGTGTACTGAAGCGTGATGGTCTGGGATGATTGCAGAGTAAGTGACTCCACCCCCATCCATAGGGCAGTGTGACACCGCATCGGAGTTGGAAGTGAGGACTCTAATTCTGTCTGGAAAAGATAAAATTATTCAAAATCCCTTTAGGTAAAAATGGATGGTAGGGTTTTTTTTTTCTTTAAAGGAGTGGGCTGTGTAAACTACATGATGTAAACTGCCTGCATAATTGGGTGGACTTTAAAATTTACTGTGTTAAAAGCTACAGCATCCTTAAAAGGGGACTGCCACCAAAGGTGATTGTTTAACAATGGAATTTCTAACTCAGGACTACTGGAAATAAGGGTGATCTGCATGTTTTCCCTTGAAGAAAAAACAGCTATTTAATTAATAGTGATACTTAAATGGCTTATTCCCAGATTTTAAAGAAATATATGGCCTCTTGTGGACTAAAAGCAAAAATAAACTGTAACAAGCATGTCTCAAGGGAATGAACCCATAAAGTCATTGACATTTTAGAACAATAGAAATTCTTGTACCCACTCTTAAGGAATCCCATAAATTTAGTAATATTTTAAGTGGTAATATAATGCTTTACCAGGAAAAACAACTTAGAAAAATTTATTTAAAAACTGAATACATCAAGACTTTTAATGAAAAAAATTTATTCATTGAAGTTTGCAAATCAAACATGTGCAAACAAGTGTTTGGTGTCTGGCTAGACTATTTCTCAAGTGAAATTAGGTACCAGTGAAATTCTGTACTTCTAGCATATGTTAACTATGCTCCCTTAGGCACAGGTGGCTGTGACAATACTAAAGCTTTTCTACTCCATGAAGAATGGGTTTGGCACTAATTTGGATTAGTCTCTCTGTTGTTAGATTGGATTTTGTATTGCTTTTCTTCAAGGAATTGAGCTAAATTAATGAATTTTGATTCATGTCCATGTTTTTTTGTTTTGATACTATTTTCTTTTTTTCCTCCATTGTATTACATAAATTCCCATATAATTACTGAATTATTCAATGGAAGAAAACCATGTGTGATTTGGGGAGTACAATTACTTGGGGACTGGGAAAGTACGGAAAAATTCAATCTTCTGCCAAGTGCTAGCAGGCAGGTTCTTAAAGCTTAAATTCAAATTAATCCATACAAATACATCTACTAGATAATTGTGTGATTTTCTATCATGGTTCCTCTTGAGATGGTATAATGAAGCATTTTCTCTGGAGATTTGCATCTAAGTCAACTCAAGAATATGGCTGGAAAGTAAAGCAGTAGTTTTCAAACCATAGTCCTAGACTGGCACTATGGACATCCTCTAGGTATTTTTGTACCTGTTCCTTGTAGACCCCTACCCTAGACCTATTAACTTAAGAAACTCTGGGGTATAAGAGCAATCTCCCTTTTAATAAGTCCTCCAAGTGATTCTAATGCATGATGAAGTTTGAGAACTGCTGGAGTAAAGTGTCAGGATAAATTTTCCTTAACATCTTCCCATCTCACTACCTTCCTTGTTTCTCTGAGCAATGAGTAGTGTTCAGGACACAAACTTGTAAATATTGAAGCAGTAGGAAACAGTGGTTTTAACAGGATAAACAAGGACCTTTCCATTTTCTTATTGCTTACTTTTTAGAGCTAGATCATTGGGACAAAAAGCTAGGGCATTTAAAGACAGAGCCATAACTTAGGAGACAATAGGAAGATGCTAAATTATAGTGAAAACAAAGACTATACTGTTTTGTGGTATAAAAACAGGTTATTATTTGATTTCTTTCTTTACCAACTTTTAGCAACTGCTATGTTATTTATTTACTCAATTCCTTTAGAGTATTGGTTTGCCATCATGGAGAAAAATAATAAGCACCCATAAACTTTGACACATTAAAAATGTCCATGTTCTTTCATCTCCCAACCTGGGATTCTGTTCAGTAGATCTATTCTGGGGAATTGGGCTTGTGACTTTTTTTTTAATTTTAACTCTACAGGTGATTATGATGCAATGCTCTCGATGACAACCACTAACTTAGAACAAATTACAAAATTTTCCAATTCTATTAAGTAAACTAATTTCTGTAAAGCAGAAAGGACTGGTTATTTTCATATTAAAATTGCAATCCAGACATTGATCTTCACAGATTTTTAAACAGCATTCCTGTTGGTCACCAGGGCATATGTTAAAGACACAATTTATTAAAAGTGTAATAAGTGGAACCCTGAGTCTCCTACCACAAAGAAGTGGGCCATGGCAAAGAGTACCAAGGTGATATGAAATGGAGGCACAGTTCATAGCATCTTGATCCCACTATAGATTGCCATCCTGCATCTTTGACTCTCAACCCTTGCAGAGGTGCCATTCAGCATTGGTGCACAGGAAGGGTGGTCTTGCTGCCTTCTCACCAACAACCACATCTAGACCCACATTAAACATTGTTAAAATGTCTCAGAAATAAAAATCACTTTCCACTCCAAAGCTACACTGTTGCTCCTCAATGCCACCCAGAAGTTTCAAACATTCCCCTACTCCAAGACTGTATGCAGCCAACCTGTTTAGCTATTAAAATACAGTCATACCTTTTGGCAAATAATGATATTTATATAATGATAAAGAGCAATAACCTACAAAATTAATTTTAAAAATTGTGATATTAAGTTGTTCCAAGTTAATTGTGAATACACGATAAGAGATGAGTTTCACAGGATGCATGATGAATGGAATTCCTAAGGCAGCAACATCTGAGAACTGTGTGCTTCAGAATCAGAATTGTTTTTGGTTCATGTCATGCGTAGCATAGACATTGTGAAGCATTCAGTGTTTCAGCAGAGTTGTCAGTTTATCCTAACCTACGATTATGTAATGCTAGAACTTCAGAGATTTTTGGTGCTAAATTTACTTGCTAATATGTAGTAATTGTTCTAAGGGCATATTTACCATTGTAATTTAGAAATTGATAATAAATTATTAAAACCACTGAAGGAGACAACAGTTAAATTGTGAAACATTTCTTTCAGATATTATGAATGTGAATTTTTTTAAAATGAGCAAGAAATGTGGAAATCTTATCAATCGTGAATTTAGTACTTAGTTACCTAATATTGTACAAATATCTGTTTGTCTGAAATAATTACATACAATATTTATATGAATAATATCAATCAATGTCAAAAGTAAATTTAATATTTAATGTTCCTGGAATGAAAATCAAGTTTATTTTTAATAAAATTTAGCAGATTACTTTTACTTGATAGATAAATGTCAAATTCAAATAATGCTCCATGTTTGTATTATTTGAAGTTAAAATTATTTAACTTAATTTTTCATCATAACTACATTTTCATTACATTGAAGTTTATTCTAGTACATAATGTGAATAGAGAGAAATATCATAATATCTTTTGTACAATTAACATATACTAATTAAAATAAGAAGGAAATGTTGAAGAATATTATGAAATTAGTTTCATGAAATAACTATTTTAATAATAAAAGTTTTTGATGGAAGTAAACATTTTGAAGAAATAAAATATTTTGAAAACACCTTATGAAACAGTATTAAGAAAATATAAACAGGAGCAATGGCCAAAACCAGGAATCCTAGCTACTCAGATTGGGATAATGGCAGTTTGGGAGATCCCATTTCAACTAATGGTTAGGCATGGTGGCATGTGTCTGTTGTTCCAGCTACACAAGACACATAAATAGGAAGATCATAGTCCAGGATGGACAGCACAAAAAGTGAAACCCTATCTCAAAAATAGCCAAAGCAAAAAGGGCTGGGAGGCATGGCTCAAGTGATAGAGTGCCTGCTTAGCAAGTGTGAGGCCCTGAGTTCAACCCCTACTGCCACCAAAAATAAATAAAAAGACAATAAGAAAATAAAATCAGAATCTTAAACATTATCACATATTTTAAATAATAGCTCATACTGAAAAAGAAAAATATTTGGCACTTACCTAATACAGAAATTCTGAAATAAGACATTATTATTATATTATTGCAAATCAGTTTTATGTTATTAGTTTTGTAAAACATAGCTTATAAAATGAGAGAACAAATCCTTAGAAAACTTATTAGTCAGTTAAATAAAACTTTAAAATATTTTAATGAAATGAACTATTTCACATGTTAAGTGTCTTCATAATTCACCTAAAATGTAAAAATCAAGAGTTTGAGGGAAGGTAACAATTGTCTTTTATCTGAGGAAATTAGAAAGAAAAACATCTTCAATATTACATTAATATTATAGTCAACCATATAAATGTTCCAGAAAACAATGTTTTCATGAAAATTGTGATCAGGAAGATGTACTGAATTTTTAAACCTGTAGAGTCAATGAAATAATAATGAAAAAGTAAATGAGAAATTCTAGACAAAATTTCCTATAAATTTCTGGGTTTAAAAAATTTTGCCACTATAAGTTACTATATTCACATATCTCTGACTAAGACCATGACAAATGTGTCATCAAGTACAAATCCTTAAGTCTTTTCTAATGAACATCATATTTCTTGCCGGATATTAAATAAATTACAAAGAGAATATTGAAGAGAGATGGAAAGAAAACCTCCAGCTAGTAATTAAGATAATAAACACTGGTCCTGCCCAGGAGGGATGGTTGGTACCGTTGGAAGGGAGGAGGTGGTGAGGAAAGGGGGCAGGAGGGTGAACACAGTCAAAAAATGTGTACAAATAGAGGCGCTACCCCTGTCCGGGAGGCGAGGAGACCCTGCACAGTGCTGCCAACGCCCCGGCGGAGAAGCTGAGGTCAACACCAAATTTGAAATATTTAAAGTGGATACAAAACTGTTTCTGAAATGCAGACAATTAAGTGCGTCATTGTGGGCGACGGTGCTGCTGGTAAAACATGTCTCCTGATTTCCTACACAACAAACAAATTTCCATCTTAATATGT